CTTGTATTTACAATATATTTTAATAAAACTTTTATAAATAAAAAATATAAGTTAAAATTTAATAATAAAAAATAAAATATAAAGAATAACAATAATAAATATTTGTTTTATCATTAGATTTGTAATGCTTGTAATAATAATTTATTAAGATTTATTATTATATTATATTTAAGATTTATTATATACATATTATATTGATTTATTGAGATTTATTACAAAATTAAAATTTATAATTGATAATATAAAGTATAATATTATATTATATAAATAATTATTATTACAAATCATAATGAAATTAGATTAAAATAAAATAAAAAATTTTTATTTGATCTTTAAAACCCACTTATACTTGGTTATTATAAATTCTATTCCTAAACACTAATCCTAACTTTAAAAAATGCTAAAAAAATGCATTTCAAAAATTTGTATTTTTTGGTAACTTGTTTATTTGATATTATTACTTATTTCATTTTAATCTGACTTTATTTTAATCTATTACAATTATTGTATTAATAAAATAAGCAAAGAAATATTCAACAATATATATTAATACTAATTTATATATTTTGCTTTATAACTTTTTTTTACATTATTATTTTATTTTTAAATGCTATTTTTATATAAAATTTATATTCTAGTTTTACATTTAATATATATATTTATTTTATATTTTGTATTTAACATATATTTGATTTTATCTTTTTAGTTAACAATTTTTTTAATTTTTTTTATATATTTTTTTGGTTTTATTTTTATTTTTTTTTTAAATACATTTGCAATATAAGCATTGTAATTAAGCATTTTCAAAATCATTTATATTAGTACAATTATACATAGTAAACAAACCCCAAACCTTTAAAAAATAATTGCTAATTATAAAAAATTAAATCAAACAAATTATTTTAAAATTTTATTAATAATTATTGTTTAAATAAATCAAATATATTTTTATAGCTATAGATAATATATTTATAAAATTTTAAAATTATTTGTTTAATATAATTTTTTATAATTAGCAATTATTTTTTTAGAGGTTTGAGATTTGTTTGAATTTGTTCATTATGTATATTTATAGTTGAGTTGCAAATATAACACCTAGTATAGAATCTATAATATATACGAATTACTTAAATTAGACATTAAAAATGTATATATAGTTATTTGTACTCTTTAATATAAGAAAGTTTTTTAGAATCATTATGTTTTAATACTAAATAAAAGTTTCTAATTTCAAAGAAGCTAAGTTTAAAAAAAATAAAAATAAAATAATCTAATTTTTAAATAATATAATTACTTTTAAACTTATCTTAAAAAGCTTTACAACTTTTACTTAATATATAAAATTAATTATTTTAGTTAAAAAATATTTAAATAATTGTTAAAAAATTTTTATATTTATAGTATATAAGAGTTTTATAGCAAAAAGTAGTAATGAAACAAAAAATTTTTTTTGTAATTTTTTAATATTGTGTTTTAAATAATTTAATTTTTGCAAAAATAAAGTTTTTACAAAAAATTTTTTTGACTTATTATCACCTTTTGCTATAAGGCTTTTTATATATAATTTACATAATAATCTGTATTATAATATATTATACTATAATTATGCATCTGGTAACTGGTAAACCATTAATTAAAATAAAATAAAAATTTTTCTTTAATATTCTAAAAACTATTTATATTTATTTATTATTAAACCTCTTTTAAATTCTAATTCTATCTTTAAAAATATCAAAAAATGCATCACAAAAATTTGTATTTTCTATTTTATACTATTTCTTATTGAATTTTAATCTAATTTTATTTTAATTTGTTACAATTATTAAAAAAGTAATTTGTATACTATGTGAAGTCAATAGAAATAGGATAAATTTAATAAATTTCATTTATATTGACTCCACCCGTATATTGATATTATTATTATGAAACTTTATAAAAACTTGTATTAATATTTTGAAATCTAATATAACACTTTACCTAACTATTTAACTGTTACAATATATTAGATTTCCAATTACTATTCAAATATTTAATCAATACTATATCGAATTTTAGTATTTTTTATATCTTTTATATTAATAATTATTATGACACATGCAAAGTGTTACGACACATGCAAAGTATTACGACACATTTAAGTTAAAACCTTTTGACGTATCGTTCGTATCTCAAGTTACAGCCATCGGAACGTAAAAAAAGGTACATCACCGATCATATTTCTGCATCAGAGTCAGTGGATTTTAATAGTAGCAAAAATAGCACTAGCGATATCACGACAACCACATAACCAAATCTGATCAAAATTGTTTTATTTGAATTCTATAGATTTGTAGAATTAAAATAAAACAATTTCGGTCAGATTTGGTTATGTGGTTGTCGTGATATCACTCATCCTATTTTTGCTACTACTAAATCCATTGGCCCTGTTCGGCATCTATAATCTGGCACTGATATTACAAGTATCGAAGTTAAATAAGCATGATAAAGAAGTGTTGACTAAACTCTATGGTGATCGTTCAGAGCACAATTACTCATATTAATTAATGTATGTTATTAAATAGTAATAATTTTTACCTTTTTATTTTTATTTATTTATTTTTTTTAATAATTTTAATATTAACTAATTTCTTGATTATAAAATTTTTATATAATAACTATTATTCTTGATTATAAAATTTTTATATAATAACTATTATTTAATAATCATCCTCATCATTCTTAGGAAAATTTTTTTCCACTTGTTCGAAAACGTCAGGATGCTGATTCGCTATTTTAGTCCTTAATAACCTAACATATAAATCATATATTTTAATAAAAATTAATTTAATGCTATTGATAAAAATATTGAAGATTACTTTAGCTTTTTAAAAATATATTCCAAGTCAATTTTCATTTCTTTGATACATTTAGTATGTAATTCAAATTTTTTTGCAAGTTCATCATATTTAGTCGAACTGAATTCGTTGAATTGGGTTAAAGAAGATGCTGTTGATTCTAAAATTTTATGACTAAATTAAAGTAAAATTAATAGAAAATAATTTTATCAATAAACATATAAATAATTATCGAGAAATATTATTTATAAACGACATATACATTTCTGTTTGATTATTAACAATCTTGTCTAAGTCGGATTCATTTATCGCTTCTTTCATAATCATTGCCGTTGGCTGGAAACTGGAACCCTGTTGGGTTTCCATATTTTTCCAATATTCCAATAGTTCCACTAAAACAATTCTTCCGGAAGAATTATCGATCGAATAATTACATTTGAGAAATGTTGGTCATCCATAAAATGTATAATGGGTTAATTTTAACCAATCAAAAATAACTAAACGGCAACCAGAAACCGTGTAACCATTTTTAAGCCCTGATATACGATATCTACATATCTAATATTAAAAGAAAGTTTCGTAAGCCGGATGGTAATATGAATATTCCACTGACTGCGGTATACTCAGTATTCTGGATGGGAGGTTATAATCAAAGCTAATTCAATAAATGTATGCCAAGGACAGTAATAAAATGTACAGTCACCTGTATGTGTATGTATATTGTATTTAGAGGTCAAAGAATTACTGCAAAAGTCGTACGTACATGGTACCACTCGTGGGATGTGTCTGCGCCAGTTCTAGAAGTTTTAGGAACCAAATCTTTTGATATAATCTTTTGATATAATCTTTTGATATAGTACAAGATTGACATATTGTATATATATGTTTGAAAACGACTCTTTTTATGACAAATAGAATTCTTTAAAACTTCACGTTGGACTTAATACATTTTTGTCTCGTTCAAGATTTCTACCTCTCGACTTTCATGCATGCTGTTTATTTGATTCTAATCCTTTTACGTCACACAATCAAACCAACTGAAACAATTATTTGATTTTGGTCGCGTAACTGCTCTTTATACGTCACCATTGATTCAATGAGTCAACAGAACTAATCTAAATATGGTGCTAAACAAATCGGGGACATATACGTATGTATGTATGTGGCAAAGAGTGGACTGAGTGACGGGTTAAATTGGTTTTTTTTTTGATATAAAAAATTAAAAATGAACGGAATGGTTGATGGGCCAATCCCAGGGGTTCAGAAAACTTTGATCAAGTCCTGGTAGCAAACATTGTCAGATTTTGATGTCACTAGACATTTACTAGACTTATTTGTGCAAAAAGTTTGTTAAGAGTCTCAGTGGCAATTTTTTTATTACTGAAATTATTTTGTCACATTTTCTATATAACTAGTTCCATTAGCTCCAGCAGTCAGAATTTCGTATGCCGTATAAATTGAAGCCGATCTATGAAAAAGAATTTATGGCAAGGATTATGACTCATCCTTGCGTTCTTTAATAGATGAAATCTGTACCATAGACTCTTGAAAAAAGATTATAATGAGTAATTTCATCCATGGTAGGGATTAGAGCCGCTTAAAAATTTTCTTAATCGGTTAACCGTTTAACCGTCTAATTTGGCTGGCTTTAAAATAATTCCAGCCCACGACCAACAGGAGCAATTTTTCAACGGTTAAACGGCTCCAATACCTATGCCGTGGATATATAGGGCTCTTTCGTTCATAAATTTTATTCTAGAATAAAACAAGGAACTAGTACTATTAATACGTAACAAATTTGGTTATTTAATGTCGAAATGATGCTGAAATTAACCAATGATATATGATATTAGAGAATATAAACTAACCAATAAGATATGTTAATTTAAGCATTCTCGATATTTAATAATTGGTTCATTTATCATAAACTGCATTTGGGATTTATAAATGATTGGTGATATCTTTAATCCTATAAATAGTATGATTTTTAATTAGCCAGTTCTAATAATTGAGTATGATTTTAGATCTGCAAAAAATATTTCGACTAACATTACTACTATATCATAAAGTATAAAAGAAGTTAGTAACTCCTTATTTTAATCATTCTATTAACTCGTTAAATACGTTTTAGACCTTTTAATCATAACATAAAATTTTTTTTAAAACATGGAAACAACTCTTAGAATTGGTGTACTCTCAGCCAGAGAATTAGCAGCAGCGTAAGTATTAAGTCGAAATTGAACATGCGATTGTAAACTCTAGATCTGAAAATTTTACTTTTTTTTTCGTAGTGATAGAGATGGTTTTTCTGATCCATATGCTGTTATTCGTATCGCGAACAAAAAATACGAAACCGCAGTAATCAAAAAAAATTTAAATCCGATTTGGAATACAACCTTTGACATTAAACTAGTTGAAGCTGTAATTCCACCTCACATCACTATAACAGTATGGGATAAAGATCGGTTCGGTCGGGATTTTCTAGGCGAAGTGACGATTCCGATTAAGCAAATATTTGCAAGAAATGCTGGTGGTTTAAATGATGGTCTACCTAGAACTTTTGATGATCCAGAAAATATGCCTTCTGCTTATACTTTACAAAAACGAAATGCAAAGCAAGATGTTAAGGGTGATATCATACTAAAATTTGGTATCGTTGATAGTCGAAATCGATCGTTAGAAGAGTTGAGATGCTTTTGGGAGAGCTTGACTAATAGTTAGGGTATTTTATTAACATTCGACGGGGATAGAAAGAGGAGTCTTATAAATTATTTCGCCTGCATATTATAAACCTTACATTTTATTTTCAAATTTTAAAATATCCATGTAGTTAGAATTTAATTCTTGAGCCTACGGTAATCGGTGTAGCAACATCTATAAATAGTATGACAAGATCTCCAAACAAAAAATATTACTCTGTCATCACACTTTATAAATTTGTTGCACCAGATCTATATATTTTAAGGTTGTGGTACGAAAACATGAGATTTATTATGAAGACGCCGCTGAAATGTCGCAAAATAAAATAAAATTAATAATTTAATTACAACTTTATAAAAAAAAAAACAAAAAAAACCACTTACTGTAGAAATAAATATTTTCCCATAATGGTTGATAATCTCTTAGAATGCCACCAAATAATGCTAGAATAGGTTTATTACTGACAGAATTGCAGAAATTGTTGACTTTTGGCCTTAATTAAATGAAATATATCGGAGTGTGAATAATGATGTCATTCTACAATAATAATGGTTATGATAGTTCAATTGATACCTTGTAAATTGTTCGTAAAAAGGTCCTCTTAATATATAAAAGAAGAATTGCCTAATACGCCTCTTTCGTTCTTCTTTCTCTAACGTTGATAACCATCGGTACCCGCCGGGTATTTGTGTTTTATAGAAGTAATTGGTAAGGATAATGGTCGACAATTCTATGAATAATGACAATAGCCATGGCCGCCATGACTTATTACCATATTTTTGCAAAGCGATAACTATACATTAAATTATTATATTCATGTTATGATATTTGTCGTATTGAATAAAGATAATGAAAAATAGATATAAAAGTTATACCATAAATTAATGGTCTGAGAATATATAACAATTCACCGAGTTTTCCAAATGAATGCAATTTATGCACCAAGTCTGGTGGTTTTCGCACATCTTCAACCATCAATACTTTACCCATTAAATACTCATTCACATCATAATTCTGAGAATACTGGGCACATCCCTTTCGAACTATAGATATACTATCGTGTACTCGGTTAGTGTATCTTCCAACCCAAGTATCTGACTCTCTTTGTTCGTGATTCATCGCATCACCGTTGGATTTGTTTAAGTCCTCTGAGTTAAAGATAGATGGGTCAATTTCTCGTCTCGGGATAGTTGGTTCAATGACAGTACGTTCATGAGTTTTGTATAAAAGAATGATCCGGCAAATCACTCTTATTCAATCAGAGAAATACAACATAAATATTAAATATCAGGCAGCAAATTTTTATATATCATCTTAAGACTCACTTTATAAGTTCAATTATGCTGATCAATTTCCACTTAATCTCTTTCCCCCATTTTTTTTGTACACCCATTTCTAATAAAACATCGGTATACTGCAAGAATGTTAACGCAAGCGAAGCACGTTGATATGTTTTGGATGAATTTATCCAATATCTCGTGTATCTATTATGAGGTGATGGCGATGGTTTTTTCGATGGTGGTAGATTTTCTGCAGCTCGGGCCAAAATGGAATCATGGTATAATCCAATCAAGTTCAACGCAGCAAATACTGTTTATAATGTTGAAATGTAAAGCATGATTGGAATAAACATTAAAAAGTTTAAGAATGTAGATTAGATTTACATACACGCTTCTGATGCAAACTCGGCATCTGCAAAACGTCCTATAATATTTAATCAACATTAATTTGGACCAATTAGCATTTTTTTTTCCTTTGCAACTTTTACGCGAAAAATGCTTTACCAGGTAAAACATAAGTCAAAGTCCTTAAAGAACTCTCAATGGAACTAATTTGTGACGCATTATTCAAAATCAGATCATCATACTTGTTTAAAAGCGACAAAATTAACATTTTTTTTTTACAAGGACACCGCGAAACGGGTCTTGTAATAAAAGGCTAGTGATTTTAGAGTCACTGAATGTTTTTTAATAGGAAATTGCTCAAGGGAGTAACTTCACTCGTAAGATGATGATAAATCGAATCAGTTTGTGCTACTTTAACATTTATTTTCCTGTGTAGATCTTGTATCATTGATTGGTTACCATTTTTGAAGACTTTAGTTTCAATTCTACCCGGATTAAATCCAGATCCCGTAAAATTATAAGGGTCACTTACTAAGAAAATCAGTGATTTTCCTAGCAAATGACTCATTTCTCAGAGATTAGAGATTTCATGTCGTATCTAGATTTGAAAAGGCTTATTGTGCAAACCTTTCGACCTATAATCTGACTAATCCGGATAGATACGATAAGATTTAATATTTAATTAATGTTTTAACATGCAGTCAACCCTCTATAAACGCGATATGTATACCCTCTCTAAATGCACACTAATATTAAGTCCCAAGCACATAGAGTTTAATAAAATGCACACCCTCCCTAAATGATCATTTTCGAAAATTTGGCTATAGTCCTAAGTGGGTGGATTTACGGAGAGTCGACTGTATAAGAAATCAAAAATAGGGTACATAATTCCAAATTTTATAGAACTAGGTCCTGGATTTCCAAAAGCACCGGCATAACCAATAATTGAGGAGGCAGTCACCTGATTTTCCGACCCAGAACCCACCGGAATTTTTTTGTTTTTCATAGAGTTTGGAACCGGATGCAAATTTGTCACACGGTTCACCCGTGTAACTTAAAATCGGGTACTCGAGTGAAAACGGTTAATAGTAGTAGCGATAAACCTTTAGCGGGCAGAAACCAAATTCTGAATACTGTATC